CCCCACGTTGGGGCACATTTTCAGGTTCAGATAATTCGGGGGTTGATACCTCGGGTGGCAGTAGGCCGGAGCTGAGTTAAGATGTATGTTGTTATGCTGATATGCTTGGGTGTTGACCATGTTTTAGTTTCACTATATTGATTATTGAGCTAGGACTTTGTTGGGCTTTGTTGCCTTATTTGGGGAGCATGGGGGTTGTCCATGCCACATTGATTATGTTATGTTTAGTTAGACTTGCGTTGTATAAAGAATCAGGATTATGTCCGGTCTACGTGTTATAGTTTCGTGACTAGATACACGTCTATATATGAGGATATTCAGTTAGTTAATTGTTGCAATTTACATACAGACAATATTTTGTAAAAGGATTACGTAATCAACTTGGTTAATAATGATGGCGTCATAATTGAAAATAAAAAGTTAGTTTTCGCATTTTAATTAGCTGCGCTACTGCCCTATGTATGTTTAATACGCCGGGTGCACACAGGGTGTTACACGATGTGTGCATAGTAACAACATAACAATAAAGAGAGAGAATGAATCATAAATGTAGGTTTTACCTCTTATTTTTAGGGTTTACCAGTGTGTATGAGAATTCTGACCCTTTATGCTTTCTCTAGAAGCCCAAGCCTAAGTCTAATGCTGTCATATTAGGATTAATATTCTCCTTTGATTATATTCGATTCTTATTTAGATTTCCCCTTATTGGACCATATACTAAATGAGCCTCATATACAAGCCCATAACAGTTGCCCCCAGTCAGTCAATTTGGATATCCGGGCTGCCAGGGTGTTATAAGTTTAGAATCTTGAAAATGACATGGACTTCCTTTGAGAATTACCCGAATTTATTGTATCACATTAATTCCAAGAAATAATTTATATATTTCCAATCCAGGTAAATTGAATGTTCAATCTTATCGAAAAAATAGTTCATATCACATTTCCATCTCTTTTAATCAGAGGGTTATAATCAATAAGAATATTTTTTATCATAAGTTTCCCCTAACCCGAATTACTGTAGGATAAACAGATTATTTATCAATCCATAATCTCAGCTGCATTCTTTGTTAACCTCGGTTCTTAGTCATTACATCATTTCTTATGTTTTGACTCTAAACGAACCAAATTTGTCTTTCTCATATTAATTCTTATCCTTAAAATTGTAGATCCGGGATAAGAATTTCATACTTCTCAAGTAATAATAATAACTTTACACGTTGCAACTTATGGCTGACATAACGTGTTATAGAAGCCTTGTGTCGTCTTCACTTTTCGTGCGCATTTAATGCGCCCATCTCTTCATGTAAAAGTAATAAAAGTGTACTTTGGAGAACGAGATCGTTCCCACGAAAATTGGTATTCAAACACTAGTTCACTACTCATGCTTTAGTTGGACAATCGATTACGAGAAACTTTGAATTAAAATTAAAACAATCAAAAGCATATAATTGCAAAAGTAAAAACAAGAATTGAAAAGAAATTGGTTTTGATAATCAAGATAACCGTAGTTAGGGTTTCAATTTCTCTCAATCTCCTCTATATGTTATGAATTACAAAGTCAATAATTCGTCCTTAATATATTGCCAATCAATTCTTTCTAATTTTATTAAGGCTCAATTCCTTGTTAGTTTTACCCTAATTCTACACAATCTTGAAAGAATCATAGTTCCCCGGTTATTCCTCAAAAAAACATGCATTAAGATCAAGAATCTAAAGATTGCACAAAACCCTATGTTTATCCTTAGATCATAAGGATCATGATGAATTTGTTAAATCGGGGTTCATGCACCAACATTCCTATTGTCATACAATTCCCCTAAATAAATCTATGAGGAGAAAACTCATAAAAATCATAGACACAAACAAATTCATTCAATTATAGAAAGTTACTAATTATATAGCTATTATTAAACACAAACATATTTTATAAAATCATTATGATTCAATTTTTCGCATTTGATCTTATTGATTCACTATTATGTATGAGCATGATTAGGTTGTCAAACTATGTTATAAGTAACAACCTAATCCAATGGGTCAGCCACTAAAGTTTATTTAAGAAGTTAGTCCTCAATTTTCTTGAAGTGAGACTTTTAGACCCCCATTGTAGAGTATCTCATTCATTTGCACCCGCACAACTCATACTTCACATGGAGTGCGTGTGTTTACCTCACACGCAATGGGGCCCACTAGGGAGATTATGGTTCATTCTCACTTATTATTGAATCTTTCTCACCTATACATACCATTTTCAGCCATTGAAGAGATAACTTCTACACGCTAATTAATGAATTGTTACTCTACTAAAAGACACACAGAGCCATTGTGTCCTTAAGATCATTCACCTTTCTCTCAATTGTTGTCTGAGACAATCATGGTAACTCTTATTATAGAGCTTTTATCTACACCATTTTTTTTTATTTTTTGATATACTTCACCCTTTTGATGAAAGAGATTTACTCTCACCACCAAAACCGTTCACAACACACACACACACACACACAGAGAGATATATATATATGTATCTATGAGACCAATGTTTCTTATGTTACAGAAGATAATTTTATCTTATATGCACATATAAAAGTATGTGGAGCCGTTTCTTATATATCTTCTTTTTTTCCTATCCTCTACGCATATATATAGGGATTAATGTTTCTTATGTTATATATATACAGGGGCAGGTTCTTTTTACACCGGTGAAAGACTAATAAGTCTTACACCACATCTCAATCGTTGATGAACGAAAATCATCGGTTGGTATTTATAGTGTAATTAATGAGTAATTAATATTAATTCATATGACTTCCTAAATTATAACCGTTGGATGCACGGAAATCAACGGTTGAGATGTGGTGTAAGACTTATTAGTCTTACACCGATGTAAAATGATCCTGATATATATATATATATATATATATATATATATATATATATATATATATATATATGGACAGGATATTCTTACACCAGTGTAAGAATTAGAAGTCTTACACCAAATCTGAATCATTGATTTACTTGAATCTAACGGTTCAAATATCTAATAAATTAGAACCATTAGAAATAGGATCAACGATCAAGATTAAGAGTGTAACTTACACTGGTGTAAAATGATCCTAACCCATATATATATATATATATATATATATATATATATATATATATATATACACGCAGGATCCTTTGACACCTCATCTGAGAGCCATTAGATCAAAAAAGATCAATGACTCTGATTTATATGCATGTGACACAATTGATATTTTTTGATCTAATGACTCTCAGATGAGGTGTCAAATTTTTTATACCTCCTCCTATCGTTGCTTGTCGTCGAGGAACTGTACAGTCTTAGATTCCATTAATTAGTGAAAAGCTCAATGTATTTTGCTTGGATGAATTGAATTAACTCATCTCTGGTTCACAAGTAGGTATCAAACAGAATTCCTTCTTCTATCGATTTCACCTGCTGGAGAAGTCTGATTCTGAACAAGTAGACATAGTTGCTTACCGAAGTTGTTTTCCTCGGCCGGTTGAAACTTGCGTTCACGGAACAACATATTTGGAAAATGGTTAAGGATATTCTCATTTGTTCCTATGTATGGACATAGCCACATAGGACAACTATGATATGCTATTAATTGTCGTGATTTAGTCAACTAATGACTATCAACATTCATGTTTTGGCATCTTGATTACGCGACCTCGTATGTATTTTAATATTTAATAAGGATCTCTTATGTGTCAGTCAACTGTTCAACTCCGTTAAACACGTGACCTCATTAATTATGCTGTTATTCTTTTCTGTGTTTGTTTCGTGGTGACTACATCATTCCAAGCTGGCAAAATAATCCATTGCTGTCTATGGTAACGACTAACGAAGATGCTATTATTGGCACATTATTATCTGCAACTGTATTCATCTCTAGAAAATTTTATTTGCGGAAACCTTTATATTAATCCTTAAAAAATTAATGTATTATTATTTTGATTTTTTAAATACTTTTATTATTAAATTAGTTTCTCAAAAATGTAAAATAATTATTAAATTATAGACGCCATACTTGAGCATTAAAAAAAATCCTCCACAAAAAATAAATTAAAATTAACATTAAAAGTTGGGATTCTATTTAGACAATAATAAAAAAGTTGAACTAAAATGAAAAAGCCAAATATGTCCAACGTTTATTTTAAAAAATAAATATGTATTAATCGAGCTAATAAAGTACTAAATATCAAGATATTTACTGATGTAATGTATCCATTTTTCGGAGAAATTAAATGAAAAAGACTAACCACGTAAGGTTATTATCATGGTGACCGGTGGCCACAACCCATTCCAAATGGAGAGTGCTTGGATACAATAATTGAACATGCTGGTAAATGTAATTTTCCGTAAATTGTTATCATAGTTAGCTCTTTATCATAATTGAACATATTTATTTATTCGTACCGAAAGTGAATGTACTTTTCCTTAATTTGGAATATATTCTTTTCACATTTCATGCTTCTCCGTTAACTATTGTTTAAATGCATTTAGTAAAAAAAAAACCTAGTGTATAACTCATTTATATCTTTCTTCATTCAGGCGACTGTTACAAAACTTCAAAAATTTTGGTAAGTTTATTTTTAAAAGTATTTTCTTCTTTTGAATTAATTATGTAATTACAATAACCATTTTTTTAATGGTTTATTAATTTTGTGCCATTGTAGAGTTGCTGAAAAGAGCACATGCCAAGTTGTGCCTGCCGATGACGCGCACTTTATGTGAGCCCTTACGTGGCAAATCAATCCAGAAACCCATTGTGGGACCCGCACGCAAAACAGAATTAAAAAAAAATAAAAATAAAAAGTAAAAAAATTAACGCAGACGAAAGGGATATGGGCGCGCCAAAGAAACAAACATATCAAACGGATTAGAAAGAGAAAGAAACTAAAACGAGTAAACATTTCCGAATTCCAATACCAATGCTTATCCCAAACAAAATTCCATTTCCCTAAAAATAGAATAAAATTAAATATAAAATCCCACATTCCTCGTTCCCATCCTCTCTCACTCCAACGCTTTCCTCAAACTCTCGTATCTCGTTTTCTTCTCCTCTGCGAGTCTCGAAAATGGTGTCGTCATCCCAAACGATTCTGGTGACTGGTGGTGCTGGCTTCATCGGCACTCACACGGTGGTTCAGCTTCTCAGAGGTGGGTTTCGTGTTTCTATCATTGACAATTTCGACAATTCCGTCATGGAAGCGGTGAACCGGGTTCGGGAGGTGGTAGGTCCTCAGCTTTCTCAGAAACTCGAATTCACCGAGGTATGTTCGTGCTTCATTTTATCTTCTTTGGGGTTGTTTCCATGGAGCCCTCGTTTCAACCTCTTTTGCTTTTTGCAGGGCGATCTAAGGAATAAGGATGACTTGGAGAAACTCTTCTCAAAAACAAAGTACGTTCAATCAATGTTAATTAATTTTGCGGATTTTGTTTTTTCTTTTCTTTTCTTAATTTTGCGGATTTTTTAATTTTTTTTTTTTGTGAAACAGATTTGAAGCTGTGATCCACTTTGCTGGCCTAAAAGCAGTAGGAGAGAGTGTTGCAAATCCCCGCCGCTATTTTGATAATAATTTAGTCGGCACCATCAATCTCTATGAAGTTATGGCAAAATATAATTGTAAAAAGGTTCGCCCCTATGCCCTAATTTTAACTTTTTATTTTTTTACAGTATCTTCAATATTTGAAGAGGGGTAAATAAAATAACGAAAATTACATGTCCAAAGTTTATTTATCTTTCACATTCGTACCAAATTTTTATGAGAATATCTTAATACTTTTAAATTGTGGTCCAAACAAGGAAATATTTAGATTCTTAACTTGTCTTATTATTATATTTCATAGTCGTTTCCACCAAATACATCCTTATCCATGATTTTTGACCTCATATAGGCAACAGGGATCATGTGTGACGCACTGTTTGCCATGTAACTAAGACAAGGAATAATGTCCCACGACATGCGTTATTTTTTATTTATTTATTTTTTTCTTCCCTGTTTCTGCAGATAATACCTTAAAAATTATATACATATATCACTAAAACGATATGCGTTTCTTTACTTATTTCTGTTCTGACACTATAAAATATTACTTAACATATGTGCTCCTCAGATGGTTTTCTCATCATCTGCAACCGTTTATGGTCAACCTGAAAAAATACCCTGTGTGGAGGATTTTAAGTTACAGGCCATGAATCCCTATGGACGGACCAAGGTAACCATCTGTTTGTTCTGTGTTACTTTTTCTCTCTCTCTCTCTCTTTTTCTTTGCATTGTTTGGGGACTTGGAGTTGCAATTCCTGTTTTTGGGATGTAATGGTTTGGCTCTGTTTGCTCTCTGACACTTCAATTCATTGCAGCTTTTCCTAGAAGAAATTGCCCGAGATATTCAGAAAGCTGAGCCAGAATGGAGGATCATTTTACTGAGATACTTCAACCCAGTTGGGGCCCATGAAAGTGGTAAACTCGGTGAAGATCCCAGGGGCATCCCAAATAACCTCATGCCTTACATACAGCAAGTAGCTGTTGGAAGATTACCTGAACTCAATGTATACGGTCATGATTATCCTACAAAGGATGGCTCTGCGGTTCGTAAAATTTACATATATACTGGAGTTTATTTTTGACATCATATGATAATGATAGTAGTTTCTTTTTTAACAAAGTATACTCCCGCCGGACCAGCCATTTGTGAAAAATGTGACAGTAGGACAAATTATTGGGTGATAAAGCAAATAACAGCAGAGATATATTTCTTACCCCTGCAAAAATGCTAACCCTCGTTTCTTTTTTCTTATACAAAATAAGGTCCGGGACTATATCCATGTGATGGATTTAGCAGATGGTCACATTGCTGCCCTGCGAAAGCTTTTCACAACGGAGAACATTGGTAAATTCTTCTTTTTCTCCCCATATATATCTACATGGATAAACTTGTTTTTCTCTAAAAGACTGTTTGGCATTTACTAGAATTGCAACAAGATTGTGGACAAATGTACAGACTGTTTTGGTATTTATAGATTGATTGTCTTGCATTTATGTATGCTAAAGTCAAATGGGACAAATTGGAATTCAGGTTGTACTGCTTATAACCTGGGAACTGGTCGTGGTACATCTGTGCTTGAAATGGTCGCAGCATTTAAAAAAGCTTCTGGCAAGGTAATTATGCATCTTCCTGATATACACATGTATGCATACACACAACAACAAATGAATGAAATAATAACATCTGAAGGGTTATCTTTTTCCATTGGATATTCAATCTTCAGGAAATTCCCGTGAAAATGTGTCCAAGAAGGCCTGGAGATGCTACGGAGGTTTATGCATCTACAGAGAAAGCTGAGAAAGAACTTGGTTGGAAGTAAGTACTTGATTCTAATCTTTTGTACGTAACAAGCATGGTTGAATTGGTAATCAATCAGGAACAAAGCTTTTGTTGACCGAAAGATCAGGACTCTCAAATGTGAAAGACGAACATACCAGGCTTGATTGTACTTGCATATCTGATGAACAAGGGGTCTTTCATTTTACCTTGTATTTTACGTTATTGTTTTGTCATTATATATATATATATATATATATATATATATATATATATATATATATATTAATTTGGGTCTTTTCTTCAGGGCAAAATATGGTGTAGAGGAGATGTGCAGGGACCAATGGAATTGGGCAAAGAACAATCCGTGGGGATACACGGGGAAGCCTTGAATGAGCTTCAGAAATATACTGCTCATATACGAATATTTTCCACACAGAAGGCCTCCCTTTGCAGAAGACATTATGCCGTCTAATTTGTTTTGGTGCTTCCCTGTATGATCTTGAGAATAAAGTTTGGCTGCTTATTTGTAAGTAAAAGCCAGATAATTGATTGTACCAAAAAATAAATAATAAAAAATATTACTTTCAATATATAAATACAACGAAATTTTAGTGTATTTGAACAACATTTTTATAATTAAATGGATAAATTACATAAAACCACCGTTAGTGGGTTTTTAAAAAAAATACCCAGCACTTTTGATTAAGACAATTAACGTCCTTCAACTATCACTTTATAACAATTAAGGTAGTCATTAACGAGAAAAGCTGCCCGATTCAGTGTATTTTAAAATTAAATTGGTTGTTTACCAAAAATAAATAAATAAATTGGTTAGATATGACAGTACCTCGCTTCATCGCATGTGATGGCAGTGATGGCTAAGCTAGTCATCTCCTTGTCAAGTGTCAACACCCACCCATCTCTTATTGACAGAAAATTTTATAGCTTTTGGTTCGGCCAATAGTTGGCTACGAACCAATTTTATTATCTCCTCCCCTTCAAGCCAAAAAATCTCATCGACATCACAATGTGTTTTATAACTCTTCTTGTTTTTTGCTTCTTATGTTGGAAGATCAATTATAGGTGCTTCTTGATTGTATTTCCCTCTTACTAGTGGGATATCCTCAGTATTGCCGTTTTCTATGATCTTCTGAACTACCATTATGTTTTCTATGACTTTATAACTACCATTGTTGATCATGTGGAACTTTCTACCAGGAAGAAGTACATCTTGAATTAAATGCTTAAATTGTTAAATAATTAAAATGATGAGATGAGCTTTTAAAAAAAAAAAAATAGATATAATTTAAAACAACGTCGTTTTGGGCTCAATGTAGATAAGTTATCTATGACTATAATCACCGTAGAAAAAACGAACCCATATGTTTTTTGGATAATATTTTCTTTATTTGAAAGACATGTAATTATTAATATTTTGGTGTTTATGTTGAGTGATACAAGGAACTCAAATAACAAACTGATATCACATGTAACTTAAAATCTTAAAATCTTAAAATTGTAGGTCTACGTATCTTTTATGGATCCCCAACTTCTCCTTTTAAAGAAGAAAAGATTTTTTATAGCAATCAAAAATAATTATCTTTTACTAATAAGATATAATTGTAATATTAAAATTGTTTTTTTTTGCCTTTTGAAGAGAGAGAAAAAAGAATAACTTTTAAATTTATATCATGTATTACCAGTAAGATATAGTTACTAGTGGATGCCGTAAAAAATATTTTCTCCTTTGAAAGGAGAAGTACATTTCCCATCTTTCATACTTAATATATAATTTTCACTTAACTTATTATCATGTGGACTTCGCATTTACAATTGAATTTCTTTTGTAACGGTGTGTTTTTCGAATAGTTTCTTTTCGTTCGAAAAATACACATCTTGGCTTTTTTTTTGGTGTCAGTTGTAACTCGTCCGATGCCAATGGGCCTCTTAATCGTTGTAAATTGGAAAATGATGAATGGCACGAAAGTATTCTTAAAAAAAAAAAAAAAAAAAACTAGGAATTACTTTAGGGGGTGTTTGGTTGGGGAGAATTTTTTTGAATACTAGGGAAATGTAATTGATAGGGAAATGGTTGGAAAATGAGTTTGGTAGAAAAATGTAAAAAAAGTTGTTTGGTTGAAAAAAAAATTACTGGGCAAATTAGGTAAGATTTATAAAGTCTATGTTTGGTATGAAGTAAAATATAGATGGAAAAATAAGTGACAATTACGAAAATATCCCTGTTTTTAAAAATTTTTGAATCAACGTTTACCTTTTGTTTATTTTTTTTACCAACCCCTCTAATATAAAAATTAAGGAAGTTGCTAGAGAAATATAATATAAATATCCTTTACCTAAAAGTTTAATCTTAACAATGTTCCACATTTTCCAAACTTAGAAAGACGCATAATCAGTATCTTGTAAGCATCCATTGACATCAAACTTAGAAAGTTGCAGTGCGAGCGAATGAAGACTTACCATAGGGTATATTTGGGATGATATGTTGTGGGCCCATGTGACATAGATGGGTTTCTTCAAAAAACCACCCCCTCCTTTGCTTTTCAAACAGTACCGATGCATAGCTAAATGGGGGAAATCGGTGGAATGATATGCATTGTGTTTCCCTGGGCATTGAGCAAAATCTCCTTCAACCAAACGCATGCTTCCCATAATCCTTGATTCATTTGCATGGGATAATCCAAAAATCCCCCAACCAAACACTTAAGTTTTTGTTTTTTAATTTATTATTCATAATTTCAGATAAGAAATAGCTTTTCCTCCCACGTGTTTTGGCAGTCGTTTCATGAGGAACTTTTCGTTGTACTTGCCATTACGTACCTTTAAGTGGTAATTATATTTTTGGGTATGATATGGTCAAAAATATAATCAACTCAGTTAATAATAACTTTTACATAATATTTTTTATTATATAACTAGATTAAATATGCTTTACATCAAATTACTTTAAAATATGATCATTTCCTATAGGTATAGTAGAATCTTCTATAATTTAAATTTTAGATTGCATTTTATTTATTTGACTTTTTTGTTTTTTGGTCTTTTCTTTTTAATTTCTCAGGTAAAAATTTTCTTTATGCTCTTAGGAATTTCTGATGTTGACTGTAGAAAACATAACAGCGCTCTGAGATCAATGGGCTTCGACTTTTGAGCCTAGTAACAAAAAAAGAAAAAGAAAAAGAGAGTTATTTCAACGTTAATATCAACTTCCTTCAGTTTGTGTATGATATCATTGGAAAGAAGCACTCTCGATTTTTCATGCATGTGGTCATTTTCGTCTAGGCCCACTTAAATGCAAATTCGCTTGCATGGTAGTACACAAAAGGTCCATTACATAATCTTTTGGGTTGAAGCAGGCCAATAGAATCTGGATAACTATCTAACTCTTGATCCAAAAGTATTTCCTCTCTCAATCAACTTTGTTGGTGTCATGTAGGAATTTCCATGTCGATTTGCAGTTAAGACAAAGAAACTGTCGATTTATGGTACGGACAAAAGTTGTGTGCAACAAAATTTGAATTATTTATCAGTGCAAGGCAGAGATTTTACACATACTAGAAAAATAAGTTACCAGTTATAAAGAGAGAGGAAAACACTTCTGCTGTTGCAGAAGTGTTCTTCTTTTGCCGGTGTCATTTTGTTTTCCCCAACAAAATTTGTTTCATTTTTTATTTTTTTAATTATTGATGGGGCCCACCATTTTTGTGTCACTGGCCGAAGAGAAACTCATGTTGTCACTGCAGAAGTTTAAAGCCCATAAAGAGAACCCCTTATATAGGGTGTTTGACCAAGTTGAGACTTTTTTGGGTAAAATTTACGAAATTGGCATGCAGACGAGAGTAATTACGGTTTGGGGTCTTTAAGTGTAACGTATCTAAATGACGCATGCATGTCCCCACGGCACTCTTGTAATTTGATTTTTTTTTTATCTACTAACCGAGTGCCGCCCCCACCCCCCATCGGCATTCAATGAATGATATTTTGACTTAAATGAGTGCCGCACATAACCCCATCGACACTAATTCTCATTTTGTTTTTTTACTAAAAGTTCCGCTCAGCTCCCCCAACGACATTCATATGTTTAAAATGTTGAAAAGCAGAAATGCTACATTTGTGCGTGGCTGAAAGGGAACCTAAGGAAATTGAATGTCTCGTTGTCCAACAATTGATTTTAAAAAATGTCACATGTGTGCGCTGGAAAACATTGAAGCTATTGTTTATTAAATGACCACCACCGGTCATAAACAAATGGTTACTACGCTAAGCTTCAAAACCATTTAAACCTGAAACCAGCATGCCATTAGTCACGAGGAAAATACGATAGGGGTCATTGCCACTCTTAAAAAAATAATTTGAAATCGACATTATTTTAAATAATTTCTAATTTCAGTTATGATTTTGACCACAAATGAATGTTCAGAATATTATGAAAAACATCAGTATACCCAGTGGTTCCTGGATATTCCAACTTGTGAATTGAATCAGAATTGAATGATATAAGTTTGTAGCTCAGCTATAAAGTATACATTAAAGGAAGCAAAAAAATATATAGATTTTGTATGGAGCATTATCACCAGAAAACAAGTACTTAATTAGTTGTTGTGACTTAAACACAATAGACATAAGAATAAAAAATTATCGGTTTAAACATACCCAACGCATAAAATATTCATTCTACAACTTTCTTGAATGGCTTAATAAAATATTACTTGAAGCCATATTGACTGTCTTCCTTAAGAAAAACTTGATATAAGATTGTAAAACTTGTGTAGTAGTCAACTGCAGAAGGGATTCCATCTGCCAGGAACTGTGGACCATCCCCCTAAAACTTTTCTTCTCTTGCAAGATGATTGATTTAAAAATTCTCCATAAAGAGGAAAGTCCATAAATAACTTCCATGAGTTGCATATCAAATGAATGATCCTACCAACATGCCACATGAAAAAGAGAAAAACGTAAATGCCAACTTTCAATTCTACAGAAGTAAATACTCTACAGTTCTAGATCCCTTAACTTTATCCAAAGTACACAGACCACCAGCATACTATGATATGATATTTGATTCCCTTCCTGAGAATAAACTAATGCTAACACAACAACTTTATATTGGTTGAATTTCATGATAATTAATTGGCATGACATGGTTGGGTGCAGGGTTGAATTTTATAACTGATATGCTAACAGCTTTGTAGCATTTTTTAGCCTCATTGATCACTGTTTTCTTTTATATCTGGTATAGGAGGAACCTCATCCTCCCCCCAGTTGTACACATACACAGACACACATAGTAAAGCTTCTTCCAAGCAATCTATTTTTTGGTGACAGTTCTTGCTGCAAACTTCAGCTCATCATAACGATGATATTTATTTAAAGGAAGAAAAAAGGCTAAATTATTGACAAGTAAATTCGCTCTCTATTCCTTTCCTTGTTTTTTCTCAATGTTCCCTAAACTCAGCTTCGCTTTCCAGTCTCCTTCCACTACTAGATCTTTGCAATCACCCTATCTCCAGCTCGACGACATATGCAAAAGTT